GAGACGTAATGGGTCACTGGAAGCTTCCGGAAGTCCGGGTGCTCCTCAGAATCTCCCCAGAGCAAGTAGTAGCAGTGTGACGCTTCTTTTTAAAGGACGCGAGTTAGGGGACGCACTGATGAAGTTCACTTATGTGCTGACCTGTCAAGTCTATGGGATTCAGAAGTGCAAGGGGGATCCACGTGCTGAGGAGATATCTTACTTGATGAGGAATAATGAGGCACTTCGCGTTGCTTATGTGGATGAGGTCCACTTGGGGAGAGATGGGGTGGAGTATTATTCTGTCTTGGTGAAGTATGATCAAATATTGAAGAAAGAAGTTGAGATCTACCGCATAAAGTTGCCCGGTCCATTGAAACTTGGGGAGGGCAAACCGGAGAATCAAAACCATGCCATTATCTTCACTAGAGGTGATGCCGTTCAGACGATTGATATGAATCAAGATAACTACTTTGAGGAGGCACTCAAGATGAGAAATCTATTGGAGGAGTTCAAAGTCCACCATGGAATCAGGAAACCCACTATTCTTGGGGTCCGCGAAAACATCTTCACCGGCTCAGTCTCATCCCTTGCTTGGTTCATGTCTGCTCAGGAAACCAGTTTTGTGACTCTTGGGCAGCGGGTCCTGGCAAACCCTCTTAAGGTACGGATGCACTATGGCCATCCAGACGTCTTTGACAGGTTTTGGTTCTTGACTCGCGGTGGCATCAGCAAGGCTTCAAGGGTAATCAATATTAGCGAGGATATATTTGCGGGGTTTAATTGCACCCTTAGAGGTGGGAATGTGACTCACCATGAATACATACAGGTTGGTAAAGGGAGGGATGTTGGGCTGAATCAGATTTCCATGTTTGAGGCTAAAGTTGCTAGTGGCAATGGCGAACAAGTTCTGAGCAGAGATGTGTACCGGTTAGGGCACAGACTCGATTTCTTTCGCATGCTTTCTTTCTTCTACACAACGGTGGGCTTCTTCTTCAACAACATGATGGTGGTGATTATGGTGTACGCGTTCCTGTGGGGCCGTCTCTATCTTGCCCTAAGCGGCGTCGAAGATAGCACCGCGAGGAGCAATGCCACCAACAACAAAGCCCTTGGGACAATTGTGAACCAACAGTTTGTGGTCCAAATCGGCGCATTCACTGCCCTTCCCATGATCGTGGAGAACTCTCTAGAACACGGATTCCTCTCGGCCGTCTGGGATTTCCTAACAATGCAGTTGCAGCTCTCATCGCTTTTCTACACTTTCTCCATGGGAACTCGCGCACACTTCTTCGGCCGCACCATTCTGCACGGCGGTGCAAAGTACCGAGCCACCGGCCGCGGATTCGTCGTCCAGCACAAAAGCTTCGCCGAAAACTACAGATTGTACGCGCGCAGCCATTTTGTGAAGGGGATTGAACTCGGCGTCATTCTCGTAGTGTATTATGCTTCAAACAGTCCCTTGGCCAGGGACACTTTCGTCTATATAGCCATGACCATCTCAAGCTGGTTCCTTGTGGTGTCGTGGATCATGGCCCCCTTTGTTTTCAACCCCACAGGGTTCGACTGGCTGAACACCGTGTATGACTTTGAAGATTTCATGAACTGGATTTGGTATAACCGTGGAGTGTTTGCAAAGGCAGACCAGAGCTGGGAAACATGGTGGTACGAGGAGCAAGACCACTTGAGAACAACTGGGCTTTGGGGAAAACTGCTGGAAATCATCTTAGACCTTCGTTTCTTCTTCTTCCAGTATGGGGTGGTGTATCAACTCAAGATCACTGGCGGTAGAACCAGCATTTCTGTTTACTTGTTGTCTTGGATCTTCATGTTCGCAGCTCTCGTGATTTATTTCTCCATTGCATATGCAAAGAAAAAATATGCCATGAACCAGCACATTTATTACCGGTTGGTGCAATTGCTGGTCATCATGCTCACTCTACTGCTCATTATTTTGCTGCTAAAGTTCACGCCGTTTGAGGCTCTCGACTTCATAAGCAGCTTGTTGGCGTTTATACCCACGGGTTGGGGAATCATCCAGATCGCTCTCGTTCTCAGGCCGTTTCTGGAGACCAGTGTGGTTTGGGTGACCGTTGTCTCCTTGGCCCGTCTCTACGACATGATATTTGGATTGATTGTCATGGCTCCTCTGGCATTCCTGTCATGGATGCCTGGATTTCAAGCCATGCAGACAAGGATACTGTTCAATGAGGCTTTCAGCAGGGGCCTTCAGATCTCCAGGATTCTCACCGGCAAATCTTTCTAGAGTCTCTGAGGTAAACATAGTACAGTATGTTCAGGAATTTGTTGCTTTAAATATAAAAAACGTGAAACAAGAACTGTTACCAAACGAGCCCTCAGAGATATGCAAGTCTTTTTTCTTCTTGTGTAGGTCGAGCTCCATGTTGTCCGGTGTCCTGAATCTCGCTGTCAAAACACTGCCAACAGGTACTTTTGTTTATGCTATACTCCGCGCTCTGGAGTTTGGTCCTTATTATAAGGGCATAAGTTTTGATATTTCCGAATATCAACCCTTTTGTGGGTGTTTGGTGAAGTCTAAATACGGTTTGGATTTGGTACGGTCCGATATCACAACCCTTCCGAATGAGGGTGTTTTGATATCTCATGCATGTTATCAATGACCACCATTTCATCACTTCACTTCAACTCATATCATTTCTTCTGGATTTTATCTAAAGCTCACCAAATGAGTCCTAAGAGATTCTGTAAATATGTTTTTCAGAGTACCTGTTGCCATTTTACTTGTGCAGGATTTACCTTTTTACTTCCTTGGAGTAATATTTATGCAGAGGGTTGGCTTGAAAAATTGTTTATTATCAAAGTACCCTTTACTGCTATTTTAATAAGAGAAAGGATAAACTTACAACAACAAAAAAAAATACAGAAATTCGATTGGATATCCACGGTTCTCCGATCGTAAAATTGATGGTTCTTTTCCCTCCTAACACCCTCCCACTAAACCCCCAATCCAGCCCCCGCCTCCTACCCCCACCCCAGCCCCACTGTACCCCCACCCCCACCCTAAACTGCCAAAACAGTGATTTGTGGGGAGGGGCTGGGTAGGGGGTGTTAGGGGGGGTAGGACCTCACGAACGGAGCACCATAGGTACCCCAATCGAATTGTTGATATCGGCAAGGTTCCGTTGACACTAGTATTCAGCGTCAACACATGACGCTCATATGAAACTCCTCCGGTGCTCCAAATGAAAAAAGTGATGATTCTTACCCCCCTAAACCCCCCCACTGCACCCCCATCCCACCTGACCCTAGACCCCCCTCTTAGCCCTCCAAATGTGTGGCTATTATGCATTGCCGTTGTTGATATAAGTCTTGTCGTAAGAATAGTCCGCCCCTTTTAATAATTAATAATATGAAGGATTACCTTTTTGTCCTTTCCGAGGACAAAATTGGTAAACACGTGCAAGCTTTTCGTACTTCTCAAAATGCCTTATGTTTAGAACCGGAGGGAGTATATAAATATATAATAATAATAATAATATATACTCCCCTGTAAATTACAACTGAGAACTGAAGAAGTATCATCATGATCATCACAGTTCACAGGTTATGAGGGGTATAGATGATGATGATGGGTGGTGGTGGTGATGATGAAGGTGAATCTTACTTTGTGTGGGATGGCATGGATTGGGATGGCATGGATGATTGATGATCTGTTCAAGATGATGATGATGATGATGATGCACTTTCTCCTCCATTTTTGCCCATGCATGAATCCCAAGTTCTGAATCCAGATTTTTTTATATTAAAATATTTATTCATTGTTTATGATGATGATGATCTTAGAGAGCAGCATTTGTAAAAATGTAGTAGTAAGTGAGTGGTAGTACTAGTATATTAGTAGCCTGGGGAATTTTAGAATCCCAATATTTTTTTCCTCTCATTCCTCTCATGTTTTGTTTTGTTTTGTTTTGTTTTGTTCTTTCACATGTGCTCGAGAAGCACCGCCTTCGGTTGTTACGACCAAGCGGAGATCTCGAGCAAAATTCTACCAAAAATAGGGAAGGGGAGGGGGGTGTGCATATTTAGAAGTAAGATAACTGCTTTCAAGAAATCCTTGATGTAAATGTAAAAACACAAATAAAATACAATGCTTGGGTCACTTTTCTTGGGTTAAAAGAATCGTTATTTTCTTTAAAAGTTTACATATTATTTATTTTACACAAATAGAAAGAATGTATACTCGTAATATTATGCACTTTCTGTTCATAATATATCTTGCCAAATGTCCTTTTTGTTTGTTTGAGAAAGATTTTTCTATTACATTTTTTAACATTTAAATTAGCATTACTTCTACTTAATTTATTTATTACACCTCACATTTTTACTTGCACCATTTAATATATTCTATCCAATTTCATTAACAGCATGTTTGGGATATGGAATTTGGATTGCAAATCAAGACTTGGCTGATATTCAATGTTTGAGAAATCTGATATGTCTACCATATACAATGTTTGGGAGAAATTTCTCTAATTCATTACAAAGCTCGATTCTAAACCTATATGTCTACCATTTTCATTTAAATTTAAGAATTTAAAATTTAGAATTGAAATCTAGGAGTAGAAATGAAATGTTTTTTTTTCTTCTAAATTCTACTTAAAAATTATAAAAAATCAATCTAGAAAGATGTCGAGGGATGGCTACATAATAAGAGTGTGAATCATATACTGTATCTCATATTGTTTTAGTTTTAAAAAACCAAAAAGGCTAAAAAAAAGTTTTCCCGCCGCTTTTATTATTTACCATTTAACCTAGTCCATCTAACCCTTCTTTTCTTATCTAAGATAAAAAATGGAATCCGCTTTCAGTCGCTAGAAACGGAGTCGGCACTGGAGCGTGAAGAAGCCGCCGCGGCACTCCAGCGTTCCGCCGTCGCCGCCGCTGCACTCCCTCGTGCCGTCGCCGCACAGCCTTTCCACCGGGCCCACTCTCTCTTCCCGAGATCCTGCTGAATTCACTGTTTCGTTGACCGAGGACGACTTCTCTGCCCGAGCAATCCTCGTGGACCGAGCTCCCCCATCGGTCTCCGAGCACTCCATTCGTCCGAGCACTCTCACGGCGGCGGCACCTGATTTTCAATTGGTGGAGTAGGGGTCGGCGAAGGCATTGTAAACAATTCCCTTCCCGCGTTCCCCAATGAAGAATCCGGCCAACAAAATGGCTAAGGCCGTAGGGAGCTCCCGCCCCAATGCTGAAGATTCTCGCCTCTCGGACGCCCAACTCGGGGAGATGAGGTCCCTCCTACCCCCTTCTTACGAGGTTCGGCACGCCCGGGGCGCCACTCTCAAAAACAACTCCGACGGCCCTGAACATCTGGCACGAAACCATTTTTTGCTTCGCTGCCCGTTGCCTCAAGCACGATCTCTTTTGGGTCTTGTCAAGGAATGGGCATCCCGTTCCTCGCTCCCGAAGACGGACTATTTCACTGGTTTGGGTTTCTGGGTACCTCCTGCCACGCCCTCTCAGCCTATGTCTCCTGCCACTCCGGAAGATTGGAGTCCTCCGGCTTCGCGCATCCTTCCTCCTCGCCCCGGTACTTATCGCACTCGCGAAGAACCACCTGTCCCGGAAGATGGGAGGGGAGGAGGTGTCGAAGATGTTGGCGAAAGTGAACTCGGCCCGATGGTTGGGGGTCCTTCCGTGGCCGATGTTAGTAGGAATCCCCTTGAGGATGGATCCACCCACACATTGGCTCCCTCTTCTTCTTCTTCTTCTTCTTCTGAGAGAGGGACTTTTCCCCAGGCCCCTCGCATTCCCCACACTTCCTTATTTGGAGAATTTCTCTTTTCCATCATCTCATCCACGGTCAGGTAAGCCCTATGGATGAAGGGCATGTCTTAGTGGGAGGACATGGGGGTTCCCCTATATCCTTAAATTTTCCTCCCATGTCTTCTCTTGCTTTTGTAGCCGAGCAAGATAATAGTGGGCAGAGTCCCCATACCGGAGATGGTGCCACTAGCGACTTTGTCACCACGGTAGCAAACTCCATCTCTCGGCCTTTGAGTGGGTTGATGATCGCCGACGTTACTATGACCGCCCTAGGACCATCGGGTGGGGTGGCTTCCTCAAGCGGGACAACAGCTTTCCCTTTCTCATCCACACATGCTCGGAATGTCCCTCAGAGCCTGCTTCAAACAGAGGCAGTGGTGGCGTCTTTGTTCTCTCGCCCCCAAGTCCCCAGAACCATGGATGCTTCATGCTCCTCCTTGCCACCTTCCCGGGTGTTGCCCAAGGGTAGTCAATCGTCTTCTCAGGGTCATCGTAAAAGAGGTCGTGGCTCTCCTTGCCAAATTGGGGAAAGCTCTCACAGCCTCGTTCAAGAAGGTGGGGTGGTCGGTACCCCCACGGCTGCTCCCACCTCTCTCCCTCAAGAAGCTGGGGTGGTCGGCACCGCCACACCTCCTCCCACCCCTCTCCCCGTGGACACATGTGGGAGCATTCCTCATATGGGTTTGCTACTCGGGCAGAACAGCCGGGATTGTTGGGCTTCCCCGCCAACGATGCAACGAGATGATGGACTATCAAAAGGGTCACCCCGATTACCGTGCTCGTCACTCCTGGTGTGTGGGGAATGCGAGGGAACTGGCCGATTACCGTGCTCGTCACTCCTGGTGTGTGGGGCAAGCACAATATAACAAGCTCTCGAGCGAAAATAAGAACCTTCAGGCCGAAAACAAGCGATTGGAGCAGCTTCGGAGAGACGAAGCTCAAGAAATCGTGCTCGAGCGTGAAAGGATGGCCGAGCAACGCCGGACCCTCGAGGAGGAGACGGAGAGGCTCAAACGGGAGGTCGTTGCTCTTCGCCTCTCGGTGGACTCCGAAATCCTATAGCACTTCTTCCAACTTCAAATCATTCTTTATTTCTAATATATTCTTCTCCCACTTCATTTTTCCTCCATTTCTTTATGGTATAAATTTATTTATTCCTCACTTTGCAATTTTTCTTTTTCTTTTTTTTTTTTGGGGGGGGGGGGGGGGGG